AGCTTGTTTTGGAGAAACAAGCACAGGGCTCCCACTAATTCATCATAATGGTTAGTTTTATTTCTATGCTGTTTGTATTTGATTTTATGCCAGTCGTATCATTTTATTTGATCGTATTTAACCCCCACACTTTAAAGGCCGGTCCGTGAAAATAGGTTGGGGACCGCTGGTGTTGCTGATGATTGGTGCTGATGATTATATGATATTTCTGTAATTTAAATACTTGAATAATCTGAATAATTTTCTAAGAAACTAAATGTATAGACCTCTTTCAGAGTAAACCACAATCCTCCAGAGTAACTGAAATACACACTGAAATAATGTCACTTTATGTTGGATGAATCTTGTTAGTTCTTCATTGCATTTAATACATTACCGGTAATTGATGGATAATATTTATGTCTAATATTAGTGAGGTCTGTCTCACCTGCTGTGTGTTGTTGGCTGTATAGGGAAGCATGGTGGAAACGTGAAACATGATCTCATAGTCCTGGTAGCGTGTGTAGAGGGAATGTGTTCCAGTGGAGTCAGCTGCATCGCAAAAACACGGAAAAGACAGGAGAGAGGAGTCAGTCATCCTCTCCTAGATGAAACCACAAACTGTCACCGCCGGCTGAAATCTGAAGGGAATAAAGCTCAGAGATAAACAGCAGTGACTCAGTCATTAGTCAGATTACACATGGCGAGATAGGAGTTATCGCAGGCTTTCAGTGGGACACTGATGTCCCTCGGATACCGGCACTGCGACAAAGTGAGATGCAGCTAATAGATCGGGTGTGAATGTTGCTCACTCTTGTTGTCCAGCTGAGCTCGGTATTTCTCCCAGCCCTTCAGCCGCACACGCTCCCCAAGTAGATCCAGAAACTCCTCGAATGCCGGCCCAGAGCTCTCATTGTTGTACATGTCCTCCTCGGAGCTCTGTCCGGCGCGGCAGTACATCACTCCGACCTTCCTCTGAAAGTTCAGCTGCACAGAAAGAGAGAAATTAACATTTCTTAACAACTTTAGTGAATAATGTTTAGAAAAATACATACATACGTCTTTTTTAAGATTCTTACTTAATCAAAATCATAAATATTTTTGACAGCTGTAGCTTTTAAAAAAGAATCCTAAGATCTGAACAACTTATTATTCATTATAAATTGTCGTAAACTTTATTTTTGTGGCAAATATTGCAAATAATTTAGATTTATAAATGTTTTAAAATCATTGCTAAGAAAGGGTAATATTCCAATTATTTGAATTTACATATATTTAAATATATATTTAAATAATCTTTTTTTTTTTATTATGTGTGTATTTTCCCTAATATTGAGCAAGTAAGTCAGGCAATTTGCTAGAAAAATGAGATGATCTACATTTGAAAGAAGAGGAAAAACAAACATCTCCATTATCATTCCAAAAAAGTAAAAAAATAAATAAATAAATGAATGAATGACTCTGATCTGGATGACTGAGAACCTTCACCAGCATCTCCATTATCTTTTTTCAGGGGCATAATATCCTATCATCTTGCTTTAAGGACAAAAATACTAATTCCACTGGCAATTCATCTAATTTACCTGCTCAAATTAAAAGCAAATACATTTACTCAGTTTTTGCACTGTGGACATTTACTAAACAAAGAGTAACCAAGTACAACAAAGTAGCTCCATGATATACACATAAATGACATCATCACCTGCTGCTCATATGGTACGATTTAATCAAGCACCAGAGTTTCCTGCAGGAAATAAGAAAAATCTGTACATTATGAATAGATTCTAGTAGTTTGCTTAAGTCATTCAAAAGCCGGTTAAGATCTGTATTTACCTGCAAGATTTGCTTTTTTTCCTAAGTGAGGCATAGGATTATCTAGAGAGGTTGGTTAAATTTGTTGTTGTAATTAATAGAAAACTTTTTTCTGTTCTATTTTTCTGTATTTGTGCTGCTATATGCTTGGGCTGCTGGAGGACATAGGGACAACTTTTCCTCATTTTGGTGCATTGTAATTCTGTTTTTCCATGCAGCAGTTAAGCTCTGCTTATAACTTTATGTTCTTTCTGCCTTTTCCTGTCACAGTAGCTTCATCTGTTGTGCTCTCTTTCATGCTTTGACATGAGAATTGGCTTGGAGCTCCTCCTTGTTGTGTCTTTCCTAGATGGATCCACCTGTGGAACTAGTTAACAGTTACCTTTTGCATATCTGCTTGTTTTTTTGTGTCTACTTCTATCTTTTTAATTCCCAGTTGGCCTTCTGTTAAAAGGCCAGGATCTGCTCTTGCTTAGTAAATCAATCTCCAAACAATATCAAAAAGACTATTTTCATTTATCTAAGATTCTAAGACTTGTTTAAATGGGAATTTTTTAGTGATGAGTATTCTCTTTCAGATACAATCTTAGTTCGTTTAAAGTTTCCATAATCTCTGGACTGCTATAAATTGGAGCTAACGGTTATATACAGTAAAAAGGACATACTGTTATTGTAATAGTTTAACCTGTTCCATCATAAATACTTTATCTACTGTCAGAAATGACCACATTCTATATGCTTTATGTAAAACATTATGTTGATAAGTGTTAAGTGATAAGTCTATAAAACAAAATGAATTTGGAAATAACTTTATATTATGGTCTGTGTGACTTACATGATGGTAAATAGTAAAATATTTACTCAGAGTTTAATTAGCCTGTTTTACCCCATACTGTTTTCTTCTTGGCAATTTTTTTGACACTCTGCCTACCTCTAAAATTCTGACATATTTCTTAAACTAGAAAACAAAATGGTTTAACGTTTTAGCTTTACACAGGCATCCAAAATTTGTACAAAGACCATATATCTGCTTTTTTAGGCAGAAACTACTTCTAAAACCCTCTGGGTTTAGCTGGTTAAATGTGTGTCGTCAGCATCTCAGGTCTAATGTTAATTCCTTAGTCAGCACCCCTCAGCCACCTGTTAAAAGCTGCAACACTAAACCCTAGTCCTTACTCCTTCTCTCTATTTATCTGGAGGTCCTGACTGATAAACTTTGAAGATCTAGAAATTTCTGGATCAGCTGAGGGCCTGTCAACAGGAAGTCATGTTTTCTTAACCACCGACCTAGAGTAAAAATAACCGCCCTCTCCAGTCCACACCACTTTAAATTTATAGCTTTCCACATCTACTGGGCAATAAACCTCTTTTGAAGGTCGGTCGGGTGTTTGGTTTGGCTATAGAGACCAAAAAATGTTTGGGTGAGGCTTTTAAGTCTATAAAACACTTTACCAATGATGCTGTTGTTAGTTTCCAACTAAGCCAATGTTTCCCTGCTACTGGTACCAGTGCATTACTCAGATTGATAAAAAGATAGTTGACTGTTCAAACAACGGTGTCAGACACTGTTGAATACACTTATTTCAGGAAAAAACTGACTTCTGTAGGTTTCATTTTTTGCAGTGTAATGCTGGTTTAATCACTGCACCTCAGGCTACCCTGTCAGAGTCCCTTGTAGCAGCGTCTGGTATCCCAGCTGTGGCGTTACTCACCCCCTGTTCGTCCAGCTTGAGCAGCGTGTCCCGGACCTTTGGGGAGTTGGAAGCCAAGCGGAGGCAGTGCAGGTTGAGCTCAGGCATGATGAACTCCAGCAGCCTCTTGGGGGACAGGCCCCTTGGGGTTGTGTGACGAGCTGCAGAGGGAACAGACTCTTCCAGGATAGAGCCTCTCAGTGTCTTCATCTGAGTGGTAAATCCAGCTAATTAGCTTCACAAACCTTTGATCTGAAGAAAGTTTGTGACGGGATGGCAATAAATGTCAAGGTTTACCTCTGTGGTACGGAAGATGATTCTGTAATTGTACTGAGCCCCACTGGATCCCTCTTTCTCATCTCGGCGGAAGCTGATAGCCACTGGGCCGAGGCGATCGTCAATCCCAAAGAAGTTCTGGTGTTCTGTTAGGAAAATCCAGTTACATAAATACTGGTGCATTAAGGGAAATTGAAACATCCCTCTTCAAAGAAAAAAAACCCCTCAAAAATCTTGATGATACAGTAACAGAACAGATTAATCCAAAACCAGTTAAATGCTAAATCACACAGGTAGAAAAGCTGCAGCATGTAAACACAGAACAAATAAAATTACTAAGACTAAAGGCATAAAAAATTCATGATGGACTTAAAAAAAATACTTTTCTTTTTATTCCAGACATCCACATTGAAAACTTTCACAAACCAACAGAAGGAACTATCCCCCATATCTTATTGAATAAAAGCTAAATATTTAAACACAGAGGCTAATTTAAGCAGGGCCTGAGGGAGAGTGAGTGCACAATGAATCAACATCCGTGACATCAAAGTGCTTTATCCATAATGCACCGAGGAGGAAAAGATTATCCATCAACAATGAAAGGATGGTAAAGAAAACATGCACCATTTATCTCAAAAGTTAATACCAAAATCACTCTAAATTTATAATGCACACTACTAAAGCAGTTCTATGTGCATCATCATAGTCATCACAATGTTGTTGCCAGATCTGTTGTCCTCTCATTTCAGGTTTTTAAACTATTTGGTTGTTTTGGTTGCTTTTAACCTGTTTAATTGGCCCTCTGGAATAATTAAAGTTTTCTTTAAGTTTTTCTCTATCCTATTCCATTCTTTTCTATTCTATTCATTCCACATTCCATTTGATTCTTTTATTTTCTATTCTACTCCACTCTACTATTCCATATCATTCCATTCCATTCTATTCATACCATCCGGCAATATGATTTAAACCAAAAGGTTTACATTAAAACAAAGAAGATGGTACTAGTTTTGTTCACCCATCAAATGTAACCAGGCTAGTTAGTTCAAAGGAATGGTGCTTGCTGATTGGTAGAACCCTAACCTAAATGAACAAGGGCTGAATCGGTGCACAGTCACATTATATGACACGTTTTAAATTTATTCAATAATAGCACACTATGGTTGCATGGCTACAATGTGTAAAAAAAATAAACAAAGTCCAAGATCCAATGTGAAAAAACTCAAGAAACATTTGATTCTGAGAGGGATTAAAATCGAAAAGTGCTCCAAAGTTAATGGATATGTGAGAAAACGTCCTTATTAATACTGATACTGGTAATAGCAATGCTTTTCTTAGTCCCTACAGTCTAAGTACAAACAACATTATACTGTAAGTAGATTGATGGAAATAAACAGAGAGAAGAAGGGAACAATTTTCAGTCACAGCCACTAGAATCCAGAAGAAGCTCAATAATGCCGAGGAAATAACCTGTTTATGCTTTTTATTTGTGATCATTCCAATGAAAAAGTTTCGGTCCATGACGTTATTTTATTTTTATTAAAATATTTCTTACCTTCAGGCTGTGTCACTGTTTGTGTTTGTTAGAAACAGGACTTTTTTTCCCCTAAATGTTCTGATAAGAAGCTCTGAGGAAGATTAACTAGAATGTAGAGTTCATGTTGATCAGTTTATCTAATTAACATCAGTCACTCTTTGACCACACAGAGCTGTAAGAAATCATAGGATTATGTAGCTGCATCCACTGCAGGCATCTGAGTTCCTGATAGTTTTGTGGTGCTGCCAGCAGAGGGCGCATGTCTGTTTATGTCTGCTCATTGCGCCCAGTGCTGGAATTCCACTTAGGCTCAAAAAGGGTCTAAAATCTACCAGGACGGACGTTTACTATATATAACCTTATTCTATCATTATCAAATTTTTTTGGGACTTTTTTCTGTTGTATAACCATGTAATGTGACTATGCCCCTTTAAACTGAGAATAATTATAATAACTAACAGTAGTGTTGTGCCCATATACTTTACGGTAATGGGATGGAGACCTTTAAATCTAAAAGACTTACTCCTGTTACTTATTTTAAACCATGTGTCACTCTTGCATCTTACTTGGGGAAAAAAAGGAGTATCATAATGTTCCACCACAATGTTCTGAAATCTTAAACCTTTATTGAGGGTAAATGTAATCCTTTGTGGAAGATTTCTTTTAGTAAGGAATAACTATTTTTGCATAATTATTGGTACTTTTGCTGTTATGGTTCCTTAGTCTGGACAACTCTCTATTATCAATGGTATATACCTTGTTTTTTCCCATTAATGTTTCAAATGGTTGGAGCAGAAGGTTATGAATATCTTAGGGTATTCCTCTTTACACAATCTCTAAAGGTTCTCCTGAATCCTGGATATAGACGTATAGATATAGATGACCATGAAAGAAGGTTGATTTGTCTTTCTTGAGGTTAGTCTGGGTTGATTCAGCTAAATGATTGAGATCGTTATGCAAAAAGAAATGAAGATGACTTTTGTTTTTTATTTTAAGATTTTTCATACTATCACTCTGGTATTTTTTATGAGTCCATAATGACATGCTCTACTTGTACTTAGAAGTGACCGAGTGACCCACATTTCTTCCTTCATGGTGCCCATCTTCATTAAGATCCAAAATTCAAGATTAAACTCAGAATTCTGAGAATAAAGTCAGAATTCTGAGAATAAAGTCAGAATTCTGAGAATAAAGTCAGAATTCTGAGAATAAAGTCAGAATTCTGAGAATAAAGTCAGAATTCTGAGAAAACTTTAGAATTCTGAGATTAAAATCAGAATTCTGACTTTTTCCCATATTAAACTGAAATAATAATAATATAATTAGTTCACTTTTTTTATTTTTTCAGTGGCCCTAATCCTCTTCAGTTCATATGTTTTGGAATTACAATCTTTTAAAAAGCTATTGGAGATCGATTTTTGTTTTACACAACCAGTTTTGGATACACAAAACCCTCAAAACAAGCAGCGGTTTAATGACACACATAGAACACAGTTGAACAACAAAATATAGGTAACTGATTTTAATGACTTATTAAAAAAGAAAAAAAAATGCATTCATTTATTGTGGAAGAATGATTCAACTCCAACTATTAAGGATTTTCTTGGAGCAATTGGCCTAATTTTTACCTCTGGAAAAGCTAACCTGGGATAAATATAACTGTGCTCATCGTTTGATCTCTGGATGCCTTTACTTCATGGCTTGGAGAGTCTGAATGTGTACATTGCATGTGGATCTCTTTATTTTATAATATGCTATATTATGTTGAAGTTGCTGCCTGTTGCATTTAGTGCATAGATATACAGTTACTTGTTTTCTATTTTATTCTTATTTTTGTGTTTGATTGCATGTTTGTTTTTGTTTTGTCTTAGGAGGTAGTGAGTGTTGCACCATAGAAAACCTGTAAGATTTGAGGTCTACTCTTAGTTTGTATAATTTTGTATTTCCCTTTGTGAAATAAAAATGAAGTCAAAAAAGGAAAAGTGATGCTTTCTGTGACCGAAACAAACCTTTAAGATTTAAGTTTTTGTCAAGAATGTAGCTTCAATTCAAATATCTGCTCAGTGTGTTAATATTGAACTAAAAAAGAATACTGCTGTTTTCCTGTGACCTACGACCTGATAAGATTATTAAGACTTGACACCTTTTTTCTCAGACCTGAAAACGTTTTTCTTCTAACCCACGGACGTCCTTAATATAAACCATACACTGGTACAGACTAGTCACACTTAAATCACACTTAAATCTCTCCCCCATAAACTCTGCAGTGTCTCACATACCTTTCAGGTAGAAGTATTTGCGATAGTAATGCGCTCCCAGATCTGCATGCTCAATGAAGAAGTTGCTCTTCCCCTGCAGCTGGATATTGCTCTCCCTGGGCTCCTCCAAGACAGACACTGCATCATTAGGGGTCCGCAGACTTGACCAGAGCTCCCTCCTGCCAGGCGATCGGCCCAAGCCCACCTGCTCCTCGCCTCCCGTCTCATTACGGAAGTGTGGACAGCTTAGGAGCAGCTCATTATCGTTGCCATCACCTTCATCTAGCAGCAGCGACTGCTCCTGGTCATCCGTGTTTCCTCCGCTGCCTCCCCCTCCCTGTGCTGGTGAGGCGGGTGTGGACTGGGCGAGGGGGCGGAGCTGGGAGGCGGCCGAAGCCCCTGAGGTGATGTTCTTCTTCCGTCCGATGCTGTCTCTGTTTGTGGCCACCTCTGTGAGGTCGAACAGGATGCTCTGAACGTCGTAGTGGGCAAAGTTCCTCACCCACGCTCCACCTCCGAGCTGCTCGTACGGACCAGGTTGAGAGATTTGAGGAGGCAAAGGTTTCGACTTTTTATTAAGACCTTCGGGCTTTGGCGGCTTGGCAGGTTTTGGGGAGTCTCCAATAGGCCTGGGAAGGTCTCTGAAGAACCCATCAGGCTCTGGAGGGTTTCCCTCCAATCCTAAAAGCAGAAAAGGGTCTTTAAATCGGAGAGCACTCGGACTCAGGGGCCCCTGGTTCTCTCCACCCGGCTCCTGGGCTTGAGATTGTCTCTCCAGTGACGACAGGCTGCCGTACTCCCTATGCAGATGCATCCCTGAGTCTCCCTGAGGCCCCGTACCCACTTTCTCACCAACTGCTCGGATTACTTTCCCTCCTGTTTTCCCAGAGGAGTCCAAGTCCCCCAGGGTTACATCGCTGTTGCTTCTTTGCATGATCGGGCCCCGCCCCACCGATCGCAGATTTAACCCCACGCGGCTCGGAGTGAGGCTGCAATCTGCATCGGCGCCGTCGCCGGGCCTCCTGGGGGGCCACTCCACCACTCCCGCTTCCCGCTTGGGGTCAAAATTGACGGTGGCGAGGGGGGGGCGCATGTTCTGACGGCGGAACTTGCGAATGAAAAGGTCGTCTGACTGCATGGTGCCTGAGAAATGTAAACCTAATCTAACAATCTTCTCCCCGGAGCTTTCTGCTGCAGACAGTTAATTTTTTTTTCTGGTGTCAGAGGTGCTGGTGTGAAACTGGGATGCTGAGTATGAAAATGGAAAATCCAGCTAAGTGAAAGCAACTATTATTTTCTCATTCACACCACTTAAGTTGGAGGAAGCTTCTTGACTTCTGGGCTCTCACAGGTGTCTCTGAGGGACGCCACACTTTGTCACTGAGTTCTTGAGAGGGAATGATGAAGAAGGAAGGGAATCCACACTGTTGGTTGCTGGAGGGGTCCATCCACGTGTGCAGATGTGTATTTAGGTTGAGTTAAACATACAGGGATCATCACTGGAGCCGGTCTCTTTGCCCTCTGGGTTAAAGAGGCGCTGTCTGTATCAAAGTGTCAAACATGGCATCCATTGCTGTGCGCTGGCCAGTGCCTGCAGCCGTCATCTGTAGACCACCTGTGGTAATGAACACAAGAAAGAAATATCTTTTTAAACCTTGTACCCATATTTATCATTAAATTGTTGTATTACTAGAGTGCCACATTTATAAAGTAATTTTTCTTCAAATAAGAGCATTTTTCCATGTATTGCACAGCCGCTGGAAGTACTTTTGAACAATGTGATTTTTTTTTTTTTTTTGGGACAAATACCTCTGAGCCTATAGGCCTATTTAAAATACAATAAAAATAAATAAGTAAATAGACTGAAATTCACTACTTTATCGTCATATACACTTCAATGCACGCAACCAGTATCTGTAACACACAGACATCATCAGTTCTCAAAACTTTAATACTCTCATTACTCATCAGTTCTCAAAGTGAATATATGCAATATTAATTAAACTTCACAATAACACTATAACAACATAGATTTGGTCAGCTGGCCTGAACCTGAGTCACTTTGTTTATGTCACACGTGACTCTATAAGCTCCAAGATCCTTTTACGCAAACCACAAGGAAATAATTATATTATTATACTATTTAAACATTATCGAACAGTTCTCCATTACACAGAAAACACAAGATCAAAATAACACTAACATACTATGTTCAAACTGCACAAATAGATATAAAAGTATATTTAAATCACTGGATGCAAACTATGGGTTCTTCAACATACCAGAAAGTAGATTTCTCATCTCAATCAAAATATTTATTTTATACTGAGAGGCTTAAAAGTTTATTCAAATCGATTCAAAACTTCCAAGTGCGCATCTGACAACTTCTAAAGAAACTTGTTATCACAGGTATGGATTAAAGGAAAAGTCCGGTCAGCAAGGAATAACCAGTGGGTCAATAATTACACCTAAAACTAGTACACTCGTGGTGATTCAATGAATTTAGCGTTAATCAGTAAAAAAAAAAAAAGGAATAATAATTTTTTTTATCGCAATCACTGAGTCCGGGACCCTTCCGTTTCTGCCCAAATACAGTAACACCTCACTCCTGACATCTTCTGACCGTGACGTTGCAGTGCGGTAAGCCGAGCTCCATTCTCCACGCTTTACAAGCAAAATCAATGGGAAGTACTCAACACATCTGCAATTGACAACAATTATTTTAGATTTCGAGAAAACTTCATAAATTCTCTCCAAATCTCAAATAACTATCGCTAAATAACTATAGCTATATAACTATAGCTATATAACTATAGCTATATAACTATAGCTATATAACTATAGCTAAATAACTATAGCTAAATAACTATAGCTATACAACTAAAGCTAAATAACTAAAGCTATATAACTATAGCTAAATAACTATAGCTAAATAACTATAGCTAAATAACTAAAGCTATATAACTAAAGCTATATAACTAGAGGTAAATAACTATAGCTAAATTCAAAAGAGCTATAGTTAAACAGACAATGCCCACATGCATGGCAGCTGGATGTTGCAATATATCGGGTAAAAGTAAAAAAAAACATTATTAAAGTGAGTTATTTCATCTTTCCAATTCCTGGTCCACTACAGGTTCATCATTGGATTGTCAACTTGAGGGGCGAGGACTTGCCATCGAACTTCTGGCCAGAGAGAAAATACGTCATTTATCTGTTACTCTCTGCTTTGCATAGTGCACTGGTCATCGCCATCATGGATAATAGCGCGTTGTGACAAACACCAGCACAGCATTGGGACTTGCTCAACAGCCGATACCGCACAATAATGTCACAAACCGGTAGGTGGCAGTAGTGTTCTTTGACAAACATGGATGTCTCTGGTTAAAGCCCATTCAAATGAAATTACTCTTAAAAACACTTGTCATTTATTGAAAAGTATGTAATACTTTCATTGTATTGTATTACACTACAGTATAGTATTTTTCAAGTTTGAATTCTGAATTTGACCGGACTTTTTCTTTAAGGGATGCTGAGTTCGGACGAAGAGAACAAATGTAGTTCATACAAACCAATTTTATATGATCCTAGTTATCCCTGTTTCAGAAATCCACAACAAAAGTAAAATATTTGGGCAGAAACTTCACATATGCTGGATGCCGATCGGAAATATTTTTTATATGTTATATTAAATTAAGCGTTCATTTTTTCATGTTCTGCTCCTATGAATTTAACAATAATATCACGCATGCTCTCCTCAAGCTCCAAGGAAGACGGAGTGGAGCAAGATGGGAGAAACAGCAGAGGCTGTAAGGCTTTGCTTTGTGCAGGCGGTCTGGAATGGAGCCGTTATGGAGGATTGAGAGATTTCGGTGTTACTTTGAGCTACAGGCAGGGTGCCCTGTTTACAGGTGTCCACATGTTCAGGTGCGCTCTGAGGTCGTGGAGATAAATGTAATTCTGTGCCGTATGTCCTTCTCGTTTCTGTCATTAGACTATGTAAATTTACTAGTCTGCTGCCGCGAGCGGGATATCATGCTCTAGCTTGCTTGACGTTGCCATGACAACCTTACTTCCGTAAACTTGTGTTGATTAGGCCTCAAAATAATGCAATTAAAATCCAAATACACATAAAAGTAAAATCAAACATCAAAAATAATGTCCCACAATATTCATAAGAAATTTTTAAATTGTGCAAAGTATTTTTTCTCCCCCTGGAAACTAGGGGGTGCAGCAGCCCCCCCAGCACCCCCACTTCCCGTGGCCATGATGTATTGAGCATGATATTTGACAGTAGGATTAGATATTTGGGTTTAAAAAATATATAAAAAATCTTGGATTAAGGGCAAAAACACTCATGTAACTGGCAGATGGTATACTCAAATTGAGGGTAAATACACTTGTTTTAAAAGTTTTTGCAGTGTAAGATTGGCTTTTCAATAGTTTTCACACCTTTTGAACTCCTTTTCGTCATTTAATCACAGACTTTAATCAGTTCGGGATGCATTAGATTAACAAACAAAATGTACTAACTAATCGCAAACAAATGTAACAAAAAAAACTATAGAGTGTTTTTTATTAATTTTCCCAGAATATTGACTTAATAGAAGCACCTTCCTCATTCTTTTGAGCATATTTGCTCCAACTATTGACTGAAAAAATTGCACTCTAAATAAATATTTGTTTCTTGAAATAAATCAAATTCAAACAAAAGTAAAATGAAATGAATACAAGTAAGGTTATAAGAATAGGTATCAATCATGACACTTGGAAAAAAGCTGACTGTTTCAGGTTTGATAAATGACATTTCACATTTGCTCCTCCTCTGATAAACTAGTGTGCTTTTGGTGATCAGCACATGTTCTGCATGCTCACACGCACTAAAAAGTTTGCACCCACTGTTTTGATCATTGCAAGACACACATTCAATTTGCACCTACTTTATAGATCAGTTTTGCTCATGCCATCCAGTTTGCAGGTTTTATTATGCATGCAATGTTTTTTAAGCTGGACTAAAGATAAATTGACTTTGGGGGTACAAAAGTAGAGTGGACTGAAAACGTATGACACACTTTAAAATTTTTATTTAAAAAAACCTTTGAAAACAAATTTTCAATTTTCCTTCCTTTTTATATTTATGTGTTACTTTGTTTTGGTCTATCACATAAAACCTCTTATAATACAAGAAACTATTCATGACAAAATAGGGAAAAGTTAAGAGGTATGAATACCTTTATAAGAAAGTTTACATAGAACTCAATATTTGTTCCTAGGAAGCCTTTTTTAAAGCATTGAATGCAACAATAACCCAGAAGGCAGCCATGACATGTGTTTTATTGTGGCGCACTACTCTGTTCCTCTGTTTTCTCATTATTATTCTTTCCTTTAGTCACTTTCCGTTCCCTAAATAGTTCCAACTTAAAGCTCAGCACATGCTCACAATAGACCTTATTAAAACAGGGGAGGGGGCCCTTCCTGGCTCACTGACAGTGTGCCAGGACATGAGAAAAATAAGCGCAAGCTGCCTCGTTTCAACACAAACGCTCGCACACAAACAAACAAACACGGCTCCTGTTTATTCCCTCTAGTAAATTCTCAAAGAGCACAAAACACTGATTCAGATCTGTGTAGATTTTCATACTTTTAAAAGAGTGATTTTAAAACCAATCGAATTGCAGCACCAATCACGTAGCAGTGAGCTTCCCCTTTATTTATTTCTTTAAACACGGGTAACAAAAGTCCTTATTTTAATATCAACTTACCCTAAAAACGGACCGTGCGTTCGGTAGAGAGTAGCCTGCTTCTGTCATTATTTTTCACTTGTGCTCTGCCTTCAACCAAACTTACGTCAATCAGCTCGAGCTGAAACTTTTGTCGCTGTCACTAAGGTACGAGGCTTCTTCCTGTCTGGCTTTTTTCACATGCATCTTCCTCTCGCTTGCAGCCGTATAGAGCAGGTGCAGTGGTGCAGAGGAGCTACCAGCAAAAACCAAGACATGCACAAGCACCCAACGCCACTGCTGTGAGCTGACAGGACATCAGGGAGATATCTTCTTAAATTAGTTTCTAGCTTCTGTTTGGGAATTTAAAGAACATTTTTCTTGTTTTAAAAAAACAAGGAAAGCCCCTTTAGAGTGTTTAAGTAAAAGTACGTCCTCACAAAAAAGTGCAACACACACACACACACACACCAGGATTTCTGCCATAGAGCAACACAAACTAGAGTACGAGTGTGAGGTGAAAGGTAAAAGTTATCTGGGTTTCAACATTTTTCATAAATAAAAATCTGAAATATTTGGAGACCATTTATTGTGTCAGTAACTAGGTACCAATAGTTTACTATATTTCTGTAGTACATTTTCTACAGATCTGTTCTAATTTGAGGACTTTTTAGTTTCACTCATTAGATTTGAATACAGCTTTGCTTTCTTCTCCATTCTGATGAACTTGCTGGTTACTTATTTCGAAGATGTGACGTAAGAGGTGCAACAAAACAGAGAGATGAAAAAAAAGAACAAAACAAAGACCATTAAGATAATCTGTCAGGTTGGAGCAAAGTTTCTTTATGGATAAAAACCCTGATAGAGACATGGATGAAGACAGAGAGCTAGAAAA